GGGGGTTCAAAACAGAAAGAATCAGAGGGTTTTTTTCTTTTTAAAGCTTAAGTTATGTTAATTTTTACAGCACTTGCAACATTATTATGTCATACGAGTGCTGAAGATTAGAGGTCTTACGAGAGAGTAATATACAAAGAAAGTAAGATGGGGTGGATCGAGGGTGTCAAGGAAACCCTAAGAAAACATAGCATCACAACTGAAAGAGCTGCGGAGCTGGCCTACCATAGAAAACTGCATCTCCCCTCGACGCTTAACGGCAACAGAGGATGAAAAAGTAAGTAAAGTAACTAAGGAGAACGAACTTGGGTCTCCATGTGCGCGACAGCGTAGCACCTAACCAAAGCACCACAGACGCCTCAGTCTCTGTATTGAGGTCACAACACCCAGATTAACCCTATCAGTACGTCGTGTTTTACTATCGTATCCATACGACGTGGGAAACTCTGTGCCACCACTTTCCAAAGAGGAAATTGACTCGTTAATCCGATCCGCACACTTTGCATAGCAGTCTGTCAAAATTATTTTGTGAGAAATACTGAAAGCTTCAAAGAGGTCTTCGCTCTAGACGTATTTTAAAATGTGAAGAATACAACTCCGGGGGTACAAAAGACCCCAGGGCGTACGGATAGGGTTAAACAATCGTGGACACATTCCTTATTCCTACATCTGTCGCCGAGATTAGCGGACACGCCAACGGCTAAATCTGGACAGGATTAACGAACAGGATTAACGAACAGGAAGCAAACGTGATAATCTCCTTTGGTCAAAGCCTTGGCTCGGTAGAATGCTATTGTTGTTGTTATTATTTTGGAAAAATCGAGCGTGGACTTTTGAAGAAAAGTGTTTTGAAGACAACGAGCAACCAAGCACCATCATCATCATTGTCGTCATTGTTATCAGTCGTTTGTTCTGTAGAAAAATACGAGTATATAAAGCAGATTTGAATATATGTCAGACATGATAGGTGTATTTTAAACTCTAAGTTTCATCCAAATTCCCCAGAAAAGAAGCCAATGAAACAAAAATACGCCCTTTTTCCTCTACCCAAACGTCCGCGGGATATACAAACATGATATGTGCGGCGAGCCTTCAAAATGAGTTACTTCTCGCAATCCACAAATGGATATATCGGCCTAAAATCGACATTAGGGTCAAATTTGTAGATTCTCTATTGATGCCATATTCTTTAACTACAACCTGTCTTTTATTATTTCATACTTATAAATTAAATTTTGGGAAAAAAACTTCACCTGTAAGCGTGATGTATCTCTTTCCTTAAGGTTTGAATCCGAGAAGTAATTCAACTTGTCAGCTCGCTTCACATATTATATGTATTAAAAGTCTACCCTGCATTTTGTGGAGGGAACACGAAACGAGAAAACACAATGTCC